AATTACTGCAATTATCATGTTGGACTCACTCCTGGTTTCACTTCTGCCTCTTTCCCCTACCTTAATTTAAGTATTTGCATTTTATTATAACCCAAGCCCTCTGGATCCTTCCCAGGGCCAGGTAAAACACATTTTTGTGAGGGACTGGTCCAGGTACTTGAACACGGTTCATTGGCTTAGCCTTTACAGTACTAGTGTTGTGTTTTACAGGGAGGAACTGAAGCCCAGGGGTTAACGAATGATGTAGCTGGGGCAGCTGATGACTGACTGGCTACCTGAGTCAGTCCCATAGCTGTCTGGACATGGTCTTTAGGCAGGGGACCATTGCTGCTGGGAGGCAGCAGAGGGTCAGATTTGTACCTGGCTTGAGATTTTCCGCAGATGCCTGTGGCTCTGTCATTGTGTTCTGTAGAGCAGTGGAGCCCTGACCATATGGGAAAGGGAAAGAGGAGGAGGTGAGGGTGGGGGAAGGGTAAAGAATGGTCTGAGGATCATCAGATCATCAGCCAGCAATTGGCGAAAACCTCCCAGGGTGAGGGCTGGTTTCAGCATCTTTCTGGGAAATCTACCCATCGATGCAGGTCATGCCGAGCGTTCCAGGTCCATGAACATTCTCTTCATTCGTTTAAAAGCTGCGGCCTTGTTGGCTCCCATTCCAGTTTGGAGCTTGCCTCTGGTCCCATGAGAACTATCTGCATACTTCATGGGGAGGAGGCCAGAGTCAGGTGGCCCTGAAAGCCACTGGGAAGCCTGAGTCTTGGGCATTTAGTCTGGGCTTTGAGGGAGTGAAACCCCACATAGCGAGGAATGTGAGGAGAGGAAAAAACCATTCCTCCCAGGGTCTTGCTTTAAAGCCAGCACCTAGCCTCTACCCCATGCCAACCTGCCCAACCACCTCTTTTAGCAGCAGGTCTAAAGGCCACCAGGCCCTATGACATGGCTCTGACCCACTTTCCTTAACCACCATTGTCTTGGGTAGGGGTTGTTGCTTATTTTTAAAGTTCTGTTTTGAGATAGGGTCTTCAAATTAGCTATGTAGTTGCACAGAACTTTAAACTATTATTATCCTGTTACAGCCTCCATAGTGCTGGGACTACAGGTGTGGGCCATCGCTTATGGTTGGGCACTCACCTTAACCTACCCTAGGTTATAGAAAGTCACACTTCAGGGATTGTGGAGAGTTGGAATATTGCAGGTCCAGAGCCTTTAGCCCAGTACACAGCCACAGGTTGCCCACTTCTGTGTGTGGGACCCATTGTTGTGAACAGATCTCTAGCTACTTCCACCCCCAAGGTTGAGACCCTCAACAGAATGCACCTGAGGTTCCCTTGCCAAGCTCCCCCAAGCCGCTGTTCCCATCTATTAGAAAGAAGTGTACAATTATGTCTTTTTTCTGTTACTATAAAAACACCATGAAGTTGTAACCACGCTGGAACACGGTGTTTGGGGTAATCCAAATCTGTGTTTCTGGGCCACGGTCATTCACATTTGGCTCCAGAATAAACCTCTCTTGTCCCCTCTGAAGCGAGAGTTGTTTTAGCATCAGCACCCACTGTGGGAAACAAGCGCACATGTGGTTGTCCTGGGAGGCGGGCGAGCCAGAGCTGTGCGGCTCACCTGGGACCTGAGTGCCTCAGTTGCTAGCACTGTATAAAATGCTGCCCTCTTGACACCTGTGAGGCCAGGGTGGAGGAGGGACAGGGACAGGGAGAAGGGGACTAGACCGGACTGGACCGCCTGCCCCAGCTGGGCTCGCTCGCGGCGCACTGGCACCACCATGCGGCTTGTCTCTGCCATTGCCGTGAGGCCGCTGTGGTGCTTGGGTGAGCCTGTTTAAACTCTAAGGTCACAGAAGTGCTTGGAGCATCCCGGCAAAGAACTTCCTGGTCTACAGACAAGATGGTCCAAATACCTGCTTTGCCGACTGGCAGGAAACCGACTGTGTGTTTCTAGGCCTTCAAGTCCTGTATCTCTGCGAGCCTCCCTCCCCGCCCTTCCCCTACAGTCCCTACTTGATCCCCTCACTGCTGCTTCCTGTTTAACTCCTAATGGTCCCCTTTTCTAAGTGTGTGTGTGTGTGTGTGTGTGCGCACACACACACACACACACACACACATACACACACCCTCATGGGAGAGGTGTATCTGCCTTGGTTGACTTATGTGAGAACAAGGTGCCTGACTAGGCTTGAGACCTGGCATTGTGAAGCACAAGGCTGGTGAGGGGGAGCACAGGAACAGGTCATGGGTGCTCAGCACCTGTTAAAGGCTGAAGTGTAGTCTCTTGTGCTTGGTTGACGCTTGCCAGGGATGATGAACCACAGGAGTGAGCTGTGCTGTCCACACACAGACTAGACGCTCCAGCATTTCAACTTAAAACTGGCATTGCACAGAACGGAGCCAAACCATAAAACTCATGTTAGTAATTTCCCAGGGTTTCTTAGAACATTCAGTAAGTATCAAGTACCACATTAATTAGGGGGACCGTAGAGAAAAACTCACTTGACCAGATGACACTGCTGGCCAGGACTGCCATCAACACTTTATCAGAAGGGCCCACTGGAATTAATCTCTGTGTTTGGCTAACACAGTCGTTTGCTGTGTGAGAAATGCATCACCATCCATGTGCTAAGTCTGTATACCTGAAGGAGTTCTGAACCATCCACAACTTGGTCTATATTAAAATCATACAGTTAGCAACACCAAGGAAAATATGAATGGTAGAGTAGTTTTTTTTTGTTGTTGTTGTTTTGGTTTTTTTTTTGGGGGGGGTTGTATTTGTTTTTTGAGACAGGGTTTCTCTGTAGCTTTGGGGCCTGTCCTTGAACTAGTGCTGTAGACCAGGCTGGCCTCAAACTCACAGAGATCTGCCTGCATCTGCCTCCTGAGTGCTGGGATTAAAGGCCTGTGCCACCATCGCCCAGCAAGGGTACAGCAAAGTCAACTGCTTCATGCTCAGAGAAGAAATTTTGGACTAGGTGTACCAGATTTCAGAACCCATGTAAAAGCTGGGCAGGTGTGGTAGCTTAGGAGACAGATGGGATCACTGTAGCAAGCTGACTCATCAAATCAGCAAGCTGAAACTAGTGAGCTCTGGGTTCACCAAGGACTCAGCTTGAATAAAATGGAGACTGAGTAAGATAGCCAACACCAACTTTGTGCCTACACACAGACAGACACACACACAAACACAACCATCACAACGATGAATTTCCACAAAATAGATTTTACTGTATTGAAAATTGTATAAATAAAACAATTATATCCAATTAAGTTTTCTAAAGTACAAGAACATTTAAAACCTCATACTTAGAATTTTTATATACACAAGATTTTATTCTGTACTTTTACACCAATGTCATTATAGACTAAAGGAGAAAAAAGAAAAAGTAGGAAAAAATACCGAGTTTCTAGTTTTCAACAGGATTTCCCATCTGGCAGATTGTCACAGGACAGACAGACAGGATGCTTATCATATTTTAACATTCTAAGCTGCCACCAAAGACACAGCTGCAAGAGATCCCTGGCATTGTTTCTGCAGCTACAAATGCCAAACAGTAAAGAATTTACACAGAGCATTAGAAAGATCAACCTCGGCAAGTTACACACCCAAGCAAGTTATTATAGATTCAGAAAGGACATGGAATTCTAAAATGCAATAAGTCTGCATGAGGCAAATTGCGTTAAAATGCTATTGACCCTCCCTCTCAGCTAACAGCCCTTATTAAGACAAATGAACTTCTTTCTGATGAGGTCTTAAGAAAACTGTAGACAAACAGCAAACATCTGGCCCTGACACAGGAGAAGACAGCATCACCCTCAATGACACACACTGCGCACTGTTCTCTTCTGAAGCTGTCTTGTGGGACTGTGGACAGTAACAAAGGTGGCCTGCTTTTTTCCCCAGGAGCCTTAAACAGACAAACTTTCTGAAGACAGTTCTCTAACATTAAACATTAGGGAACCATATGTGTGATTTAAAACACAAAGACCTGGTGGCATTTTAGACCATTCAGTTCATACTTTAGGGCACTTAAAAATAATCTCATCAAATACACAGAGAGGATATAGTGCGGAGAGCTTCAGTACGATAACCATTTATTCAAGTCTGTACAAGAACCAGGAGAGTGAGTATCCTGGGATACAAAGGCATCTCAGGTGGAGAATGACACCGAGCAGCTCTCCTGGGCTCACTAGCAGCATCCTGTCCCCAGGTGCCTGCCTGTGCCACAGGACAGCAGCATGCCCCTCAGTGTCAGCCTCCTCCTTGGATTTCTCTATGACTCTAGAGGTCTCTTCTGCACTCGCTGGAAGCTGTTCTGGCAGAAGTTTCCAGTGTTTTTAGGTAGAAGTTTTCACTCTTCCAGAATCTAAGTCACTGGTGTTTAACTAGCATGGTGAACAGCTTGGAATTGGAATGCTGGGCTGTCGATCAATGGCTGGGTCTCTCCCTGTAATATCATACACTAAAAGCTCTGCCTGACCCTGTAATGCAACCTGTGGGAGAGTAAAGACTCCTGCCCTTTCAACAGTGAGGTCACACCCCAGCTGAAGCTCATCTGCAAACTGCAGTGAGATGGGATACACCACAGCCAACCACCACCAAAAGGCTGATGGGCACTAAGAGGCTAGACCACAGATATCACCATGGTCATGGACAATGGATGCTGGACACAGTTCCTGCTGCACAGATTTACTGTGTACAACTAAACATGCCAGATTCAGGATACCACTCAATCGCGGAAACTTCTCAGGGAGTCTCCAGGTTAAATATTCTTTTCCTAACATTATTTTCTCCTAAAATCTATGGTGTCCCATCTCAAATTCCAAGTAGTAATCGCACACAGGATCAAGAGCCCAACCAACCAGCAAAAGCACCATGCTTTCTATACAGGGCTACTAGGAGGAAAAAGGAGACCTGTTGCGGAAAAGGAGCACAAATAACCCCAACTTCATGCTCACTGCACACCAAAGGCAAAGCTCAGAATCAGACACAAACTACAGCAGGTGAGGTTGCCAGTATCCAATACTGACCCAGCTCCATGCCTTGCTGGCCTAGCGCATGCCCAGGATCTGCCTGCTCTTGAGTTGGTAGTTTTTTTCAATATCCGACAGGGCCTGAGCCCGCAGCTGGGCAGCGTGAAGCCTTTTCTTCAGGTCCTTGCACTTGGACTTGGCAAGCTGGCTCTCGGAATTCTCACTCCTTGTGTTCTCTTTGCTTTCCCCACGAAAATGAACCTTCTTCCTCAGTACTGAGGATGGATGATCAAGTTCTTCAGAAAGAAAAAGAAAGGGCTGTGTTACCTGAGACCAACTCTGTCATACAAACCAAAGATTACTGCCCTACCACTATCACCTGTGGGATGTTCTCTGGGATGATAGAGATCAAACTGATTTTTGTTTTAGAACATTTAGCTTTACTATTTTTAAATTGTGTGTGTGGACATATGCTCATGAATGCAGGTGCCCTCAACCCCTGAAGCTGGAGTTGTAGGCGGCTGAGAGCCATCACCTGTGGATACTGGGAACTGAACTCAGGCGATCTGCTGCAGCAACCTAAGCTCTTAGTCCCTGAGTCATCTCTCCAGCCTCACTTTTCCTTTTGTTTGTAGCTCAGGCTGTCCTTAGCCTCAGGATGTTCCTGCCTCAGCCTTCTTCATAGCTGAGTTTACAGGTTACACAGGTATGAGTTGACACCAAATAATCAAGGACAAATGCTTTGACTTCTTACTAATCAACTTTTCTCTTACAGTTCAATGCACTGGGGTTGAGGGAAATTTACTTTGTTCCTGAGAACCTACAACAGGACACTAGCCAGATACTTTCTTACAGAGCACATCCAAGTGTTTCATACAATTCATGTACCAGAAATGTGTTTCCAAGCAATCATGGGGTGAGCAAGGCCAGCCTAGCTGCACTGACAACCTTGCTTACATAAAGTGACACCCTAACTGGGAAGTCCAGGACCTCTGTAATTTCCCCATTTTGTGCATTTAAAGGAAATATGCTTAACTACTTACCGAGTTTACACTATGGGCCACTGTGAGCAAACAAAGACCCTTTTCTGGAAGGGGATGACAGGCCATAAACAGGTACAGATGGAGATCTGAGTGATGTGTGCAGGGAGATGGCACAGAGGTGCAGCCAGCCAGCTGTGTGGTGCTCATAGGGAGAATAGGGTGCCTCAGAGATCAAGTGTGAGCTATGTCCCAAGGAAGGTGAAGGGAGACAGCTAGAAGAGAGGCAGGAGCCTGGCTCCCAGAGTCCCTAAGTTCCTTCATCACTCTTCAAAGTACAAGCTGTTGCCTGAAGAACTCAACACCACTGTGGAGATGCAGCTACCTCCTGCCACTACCAACACTGCACTTTCACACCATGGCATCTTCTTAATGGGTGGTCCTGAGAAAGTGTTTAGAAAAAGATCATCGCCTTTAATCCCAGAACTCAGGAGGCAGAGGCAGGCAGATCTCTGTGAGTTTGAGACCAGCCTGGTTTACAGAGGGAGTTCTAGGACAAGCTCCAAAGCAATACAGGGAAACCTTGTCTCAAAAAACAACAACAAAACAAAAAAAAAAAAAAAAAAGAAGAAGGAGGAGGAAATTGAGTGTAATGAGTATGTCTTCTAGTCCAACCTATCTTGCTTTCCTATTGGCCAACAGTACTTTATTCATTAACCAATAAGAGAAACATATTTATAAAATGACATCTCCCATCAAGAAAGAAAAAAAGAAAGGGAGAAAGAAACAAAGAAAGAAAAGAGAGTGTTGCATATTGCATCCAATAGCAGGAAAGTTTCTTTAAATAGACAGAGGGGCTTTTGAGATGTGGCTGCCCACTTGGCTAAGCTTAGCATTTGGCTAAGCTTAGCATAACTTCAGTTCCACTGTGCAGGACATCTCATCTCTCCAGTGTCCTGGGCCTGAGCTGGCCTCTACCTGATCCACTCTGCTGCTTCTTGTGACTCTGACACACTCAGGTGTGTAACACCCAAGTCTCTGAGCTGCAGGAGGCTCTGTAGCTTGCTTTAAATACCATGACACAGTGGTGCCATTCCACACCCATCTACGCACCCCATAAAGTGAAACATAGCACCTCACCCAGCAACACCTCTGCTCAAAGACACCAGGGTGAGATGTTAACACACCCTCAACTGAAGAGCAACTGTCAAACAGGACTTCAATAGTTGTCTGAGTGTGAAAATAAAGCAAATACATCAACTTGTTCTTTATAGATAGCATTGTGGAATCTAAAAACTGCTGGAATTAAAGTGGGTGTGGTATGTACACACAGACTAATGGATATCTGCATGTTAGAGGCCAACCTGGTTTACATGTCCTATTCTAGGTCTATTAGCCAGGTCCATATAGTGAGACCCTGTGCCTCCAAAAACAAAAACAAAACTAATTCAAAGGTTTTAACAGTTATCCAAAGCAAAGGTTCACTCTGAGTTGGCATTTTTTGTTATTGTTTTTTGTTGTTTTGCTTTTTTGAGACAGGGTTTCTCTGTGGCTTTGGGATCTGTCCTGGAACTAGCTCTTATAGACTAGGCTGGCCTCGAAATCACAGAGATCCACTTGCCTTTGCCTCTGGAATGCTAGGATTAAAGGTGGCATGCCACCATCACCCTGCGGGAGTAGGAGTACTTGACAAAGACTTAGGAAGTGTGGTCTTGCTGGAGGAAATCCAACTGTCACTGAGGGTGGGCTTTAGGGTTTCAAAAGCCCATGCCAGACCCATGGGATGAAGATATAAGCTCCCAGCTATGACGATAATGGACTAAACCTCTGAAGCTATGACCCAATCACAATTAAGTGCTTTCTTCTCTAAGTTGTCTTGGTCCTGTGTTTCTTCACAGCAGAAAAACAATGACTAAGATGGGCAGCACTCACTCTTACCTAGGAGCCATCTCTCTACTCCCCATCCCCGTTTTCCTTAAGATTAGATTAAACTCATTATGTAGAATAGGATAGTCTCAAACTCCCAGCAATTCCATCTTCCAAGTGCTAGGATTACAGATTTACACCACCATGTATGTCTATTAAACTATACTTTCTATGATGACTGAAGTGTGGCAGTTTTAAAATACCAGAGTTTTTGGTTAAAAATTAAGAGAAATATAGTTTTGATGGCATAACCACAAAGAAAATAATATCCAGGAAAAAACTTGAAATGTATACCTTCAATGTACACTTTTGAGGAATCAGTCATGACACCAGTAGAATCTCCTTTCTACCCAAGTGCACATACTCTGAGAAGTTAGCTGAGACTACGAACCCCGCTGATGGCCTCACCGGCTGTGCATGTCCACATGGGGCACAGACATACCTGGGTCACTAGCCAGACACAGGAACCTCTGCTCCTTCAACAAGCTGTAGTTCTTCACCAGACTTTCGGCTCTGGCCAGTTTGTCCTCTGCTAGTCTCTCTCGAATACAAAGTTCACGTTCCTTCTCTTTAAAAAAAAAAAAAAAAGGGACGGAAAAGAGAAACGAATGAGGGGCTGTGGCCATCAAACTGCTTACTTCTACCTGGCCACCTCAGAACTTCAACTCATCTCTTCCACTTGCTGGGCACCAGGGAAGAAGGCTCCTTTACTGCAGGGTTCTCAGCCTTCCCTCATGTGTTGGTGACCCCCAACCACAAAATTATTTCATTGCTACTTCATATCTATAATCTTGCTACTGTTATGAATCATAATGTAAATATCTGATATGCAATATGTAATTATACATTGTGAATATTTCTAATTTTAAAGAAATAAATTTTGTCTTGTAGCATAATAGTCTTAATATAATAACAGTCAATTAGACTGCTACATTTTGCAACAGTGTGGGTAAAAAGCCAGCATCAGTAAAAGCCTGAGATTGCTTCTTTCTCACCAGATAATATATTCTCAGGGCAGTCTTTGCAAGAGCATAAGGAAGTTATCTCCACAAGTCTACTTCTGTCCTTACAATTGATAGCCCACAATCTGGAAAACCATATTTCAAACAGATATATTAAGCAACAGTCTCAAACAGAACAGGATATGAATCAAACACTTGATCCAGAATTGTCAGTTCTCACTGCATCACCGTTAAGAAGTTCAATGAACTCCTCCTGTGCCATCTCCTCCTGTGCTGTCTCAGGGACATCTTCAACTTTGATTATAAATGGGCTTCTGGCAAGTGCAAATGGGTGTCAGGTAGATTTGGAAAATACAATGGATTGTCACTGGCGAGCATGTGCAAGTGTTCTCTCGAAGAAATTATTGTAATCCTATCTGGTTCAATGTCATGTTTCTTAAGAGAAAGCAGATAAGCTGGGCAACCTGTGAATTCTACTAGCATCCAGTTGTTTTTGTTTTTGCCAAAGCTGAAGTTTTATTTGAAATAATCTGACCTTTAAGTTACATTTTTGTTCTCACAGACATAAATTTAACCCATTCGAGATGAAAAGATGTCCACCAAGTGAGCTTTCACTTTCATCACTGGAAAGTGCTCTGAACTGCGGTCTTCCTTTCTCATTAGAAATGTTTTCAGTCCATCGCAAAGCTCAAAATCATTCTAAAATTTTCCCTCTAATCCCAGCACTGGGGGGTGGGGAGGAGAGGAGAGAAGGCAGGCTGAGCTCTGTGAATTCAAGGCCAGCCTGGTCTACTGAGTGAGAGCCAGGACAGCCAGAACTACACAGAGAAACCCTGTCTCAAAACACAAAACAAAACCTAAACTTTTACTCTTGACAACCATCTCTCTTCACTGTGAAATAGCAGAGCTTTGTTCATGTGCCCAACTTGTAGCACAGTTGAGAAAACAGTTGACAGTTTATAAAGTGCTTGCCTTTTCAAAACTGACAGAATTCACGCTTTTCATGACTTCTTTTAAGTCTTGTGGCAATGTCTTCACTGCTAATATTTGCCAATGAATCATGCAGTGAGTTCCAATGGCTTTTGGTGAAATCCAGACCAACATCCTAGCAGAACTGGAGTACCATCTGTGCAAACACCACAAACCTTTCTCTAACAGATCCTGTGCTCTTTTAGAACTAAACCAACTGTGTCAAATATACCACCTGCAGAGGTTGTTGTATCAAGAAGCTTATATAAAAGAAACTCATCTTCAAAGTCAACATCCCACAAACCAGTAACTGTGAACAGTTTGCAATGTCTATAGATTCGTCAAAATTGAATACTGAATATTGGAAGTGGAGCAGATTTAATTTTCTAGATTACATGCCAGTACCAGCAGACATGTCATATATTCTTCTGCAGACAGTGTCATTAGATAAGGAAATTGCGCTCAAGTTATAACAAGTTCATTCTGATAATAACTTGAACAATGTCTTTGGTGCCTGGCAACAGCAAATCCTCAGCAATGGTGTGATGTTTCACAGCCCTGGCAATTTTGCATGCCTCCATGGCTGCAACATCTGTTTGTGGCACTTGCCACCAGTGTCAAATCTGGACCTGACTTTCTTGAGTCTATCAGCTTTCCTTCTAACATAGTATCCTTGTTGGCAAAGCCCTGGTGCTGTTATCAAAATGCTGTTTTAGTTTGTTTGGCTTCATAAATTCAGCTGATAGAACTTCACAACAAATAACATGGTATGGTTTCTCAATTCCTGCTTAATTACTGAGGTAAAAACCTCACTGTAAAAAAATCCTCAATATACTTTCTTTTCTTAATGTTCCTCTCTACACAGCCCATTGCCATGGGATGGTTTTCTAATGAAAATAATATACAACAAACGCTTTACTAATACAGAAAATGACGCATGGCATAGTTCAGTCATACAGTTCATTAAAGTTTACATACCTGTTACTATCACAAGGGGGCAGTATCATATCAACCACATCTGAATGTAGACTCCATCCACATTAAGTACCCATGGTACAGTTCCCCCCCCCCAGTAGTTGATGATTTTACTTTTACCCAATAATTATAATTCATAAAGTGTCATTTTTATCTCCAATACTGACATTTTCAACACAGTTGCTCTCTTTTATATGTGTGACTGGTCTGCAAAAATACATCACGGCATCAACCCTGTCACACACTTGCATTTGTTCCAGGTGCACGTGATGGGGTTGGCACAATGTCATCATCCCAGGTACTTGTGACTGTATTTGCATGCAAGCAGACCTGCCTGAGATGGACGGATAGAGGACATTCCTAAGACCATCGGAAACAAGTGTCTGATGGTCTTGGATGACTCCTGTGAAATGGTCATTTGACACCCACTTCAAAAAGAGTCATGACCCATGAGTTGAGAACCATTACTCAAAAGAAAAGGGCTGGGATGTAGCTCACTGACATTCACAGAGTTCTGAATTCAGTCCTTAGTACCCCACCACTGGAAAGAAACAAAGGGCTCTAAGAGGCCTATACATACAAACTCTTCTGTTCAGACCCCAGCCCCACCTTCCCCATGGCACAGCTGGCTAGATCCCTTGGACTTGGGCATGACTCACGCTCCAGACTGTCCTCTCGAGCTCTGAGCGCACGCTCACGGTCCTGCAGTTGCTTTTCCTTCAACTTGAGCTCACTCAGCACTGGGCTGGAGGCCTGCAGCTTGGAAGGCTCCCCTAAGCGCTGGCCTCTCCTCTCCAGATGTCTCCTTTGCTCTTCTGCAACCAAGTCTGCTATCAAAGGGCTTTCCAGGATTTCCTCCACTGAAGGTCGGTGGTAATCCTGGAGAAACAGTGTGGCAGGCAGATCACAGAACTGTCATCTTAAGAAAAGCAGTTATGATGGGCATTTGTGGCGCACACCTTTAATCCCAGCACTTGGGGAGGCAGAGATAGGTGGATCTCTGTGAATTCCAGTCCAGCCTTGTCTATTTTTAGAGCCAGGACAGGCTCTAAAACAATACAGAGAAACCCTGTCTTGAAATTTGAGAGAGAGAGAGAGAGAGAGAGAGAGAGAGAAGCAGTTACGTTAGGAAGATAAACAAGGCAAAAGGCAGTTGCTATATCCAGAACATCTGAAAAATCAAGTGCACTGGCCACGAGGTTCTGGGTCTGCACTGATGCAGGTTTTAACTCACCTGTTCCTCTTTCTCACCTCACCCTGAATTCAAGGAGGCTCAGGCCCTGGAGGACAGCACACATTGCACGTCCACCAGGGTCTGCTCAGGGGAGTGGACCTGTGTTTCCCTACACACATCCTCATCAGCCTTCAACCCCATCTCTCTCTCTCTCTCTCACACACACACACACACACACACACACACTACCAGCTTTCAATCCTATCACACACACCCTCACTAGCCTTCAATCCGCACACGCACACGTGCGCACACACCCTCACTAGCCTTCAATCCGCACACGCACACACATGCGCACACACATGCACACACACAACCAGCTTTCAATCCTATCACACACACCCTCACTAGCCTTCAATCCGCACACACACACACACACACACACGCACACACGCGCGCACACACACACGCACACACACCACCAGCTTTCAATCCTATCACACATACCCTTACTAGCCTTCAATCTGCACACGCACATGCACACACACACACATCTCCCTTTCACTTTTTCCTCAGGTCACAACAGAGCGTCTGCCTCACATCCCATGGCCCAGAAAACCTTTTGTCAGATTGTTTTTCTTCTGCTCTGTTCCCCCTTCTCCTATATTCTGGTCTCTGATCCCTTCAAGAGAGGGAAAGCTTATAAGGCCCCACGTATGGCCCCTTCCCTTAGCACTATATGGGAAGGTAGCAGGGAACACAGCAAGTGAGAGACAAAGGCTGCTCAGGGTGTCTCCACCAATGTGAGGTTCACCTGTGCTGACAGAATTTAGCCAGGGAGGCCGATGCTAGTCCTCATCAGTCTCCAGCAACAATGTATCCAAGTTTCCCCAAGTGATTAAAAACAGACAGTGCACACACCCTTGCAACTATTACCTTTAAATTCAGCATCTGAGTGATGATGTCATTTAACCCGTCAGAGTAGCGATAGGGGATCCGCCTGAATCTCCCTTCTCTGATTTTCCCAGCTAACTCTTTCTGGTTGAAAGCTGTAAATGGAGGCCTGGGATTTAAAACACAGATAAATAAAAAGGAAAAGAGGAGAAGGAGAGAAGGGGAGGCAAGGAAACAAAAGGGAGTTGAAAATGTGTTAAATGAATGCAAATAAGAGGAAGAAAATAAGCCTTGCCTTCTATTTCCCACCTGGGACGCTCCTATGGCTATGCTTAGCAGTTTCTTGGTGCTGCCTACATTTCCGGTTGAACAGCTTTGACTTGGGGTCAGTCCCTAGCACCTTCTACCCACTGTATCCAGGAGCATAACCCAAACTGTCTCAGTGTCAGTGGGGAGCAAACTTCTCTCCTCCAACCCTGGAGAACTGTGGTTCTGTGGAATAACTTAGAAGTGAAGGAGGAAACTGTCAAGACTCAGAGCTATTTTCTGCTCTCTGGGCAGACCTTTCCCTGGGACCCCTGCTGCATTCTTCCTTTGTCTGCCTGACCTAGAACTCTACCCTGAGCTACATGTCAGTTTCACTGGGAAACACAGATCCTTGAACAAAGCAGAACCCAGACCCATGGATTCCATTCTTAACTTGTAGAAATCAGGGTGTATTGTTAATTTTTTTTTTTTTTTTTTTTTTTTTTGCCATTTTGTTATTTTTTAATTTCATTTTACATTCCAACCACAGTTCTCCCTCCCACCCTCAAAGTGTTGTTGTTTTAACTCGTCTTCTAAGTCAATTTTAACAGGGCACAGGGACAGGTAACCAACAGTGTCAGCCTAGGTTCAGTCTTCCTTACTCACATTAATGCACACAGTTCATACAGCAGGCAACCCAGCGACCAGATGTCCGACTTCTCATTATAGGACAAGCGGCTCATTTGCTCCTAGAGGACAAGGTAAGGAAGTGCTGAGGAGTTGAGAGCTTGTTTTGTTTCAAAGTTTAAAAATTTCAACTTGAGGGCTGGGAAGTCAATTTGCTTAGCAGAGAGCTTGCTGAGTGTGTACAACACCTGGGTTGGGTCCCAAGCAGAAAAAAAAAAAGAGGCGTGTGGCTCCCACCTTAATCTCAGCATTGGGAGGCAGAGACAAGAGGATCTGTAATTCAATGATGGGGCTGGAGAGATGCCTCAACAGCTAGGACTGGCCGCTCTTGCAGGAACCAGTGGTTAAACACGATGCTTTTACAGAAGACCGAGTTCAATTCCCAGCATTCATGTCAGGTAGCTCACAACTGCCTGGAACTCTAGTTTGAGTGTGGGGTGGGTGACTCCATTCCGTCTTCCATCACACATGGCATACATTCACAAGACACACACACACACACACACACACACGTAAGCATAATATAAACAATGAAATTTTTAAAATATATGTTATATATAAAAGAACTTGATTGGGTTGTAGCTCAGTGGTAGAAGACTTGCCTCAAATGTCCGAGGGCCTCGGTTCAATCCCTAGTACTAAGGGAAAAATAAAAATTTAAGCTATATTGTGAATTCTGGGCTACTGGGTTTTTTAGCAACCCAAGCCTCAGTTTCCTTGTATCTGAATGCTTCATATAAGGTATTAAAAAGTCTCTGAATCCTGAAAATACTCACAGGAGACATGTAATAAGGTGTGCCAACAAACGTCTTTGCAAAACTCGTGTCGTGGTTTAATATTCTAGCTAGTCCAAAGTCCCCGAGTTTGACGTTGTGCTTGCTGTCCAGGAAGACATTGGCTGGCTTCAGATCCCGATGAAGGACAGTGTGGCCACCGTCACTCCTTCTGTGGCACTCTTTCAGGGCCAGGGCCAACTGAGTCATCACCCGCAGCACAAATTCTTCCTCTAAGTATTGTCTGCACCAAAAGCAATCACACCACTTCATTACCCTGAATACAGACATTGCAAACTCAGGACAAGCTACTTAAGCTTTCAAAGTGTACAAGCATGGAAGTAAATCATTGTTAGACATGAAATACGGGTATTGATTCCCCAATGTACCAAACAAATACATCAACGCTCTGCCATACTATTATGGGCTCTGTCCCTGTTCCCAAAAGAACGTGCTTAGCAACAAGAAAACTAGATCCTTTTAGCTTACAACCAAAAAGTCACCACTTACCTGTCCTTGGTCCCCTTTGTAATGACACTGGCCAGGTCCCCGCCTTCACAGTACTCCATCACGATGTACAGGGTTGTGTTGGTTCTGTCGATAATACGATCATAGTAGCGGACAATGTTTGGGTGTTTCAGCTCCCGAAGCAAGTTCACTTCAGACACAAGCATCTGCTTTTCCACTTCCGTCATGGAGCCATAGTCAAGTTCTTTCCACACCAGTATCTGAAACAGGGGGTTTGCAAGGTATGAGGATGTATTATCCTTGGAGACAAGAACGAAATTTCCAAACTTAAAGGAGGGGGAGGGGTAAAGCCAAACCCACTACCTCACTTTTCAATATACATAACTCTCTGTCATTAGGGTGGTTAATACTGTCAGTTTGGCAGGTTCTAAAATTACCTAGTAGACAAAGCTCTGGGTATGTCAGCAAGGGAGTCTAGACCAGGTTGATTCAAGTGGGAAGACCCTAAGCAAGGGAGTCTAGACCGGGTTGATTCAAGTGGGAAGACCCACCCTAAATGTGGGTGGCACCAAGAAGCCGCAGACCGGCTGCGCTCGCGCACTCATCTCTCCGCTCCCTGCGGATGCCGAGTGACCGGTGACCTCGAGTCCCTGCCACCATGCGTTCCCAGCCGCGGTGGCTCGCACCCTCGATCCCACCCACCCCTTCCTAAGTGGCTCCGGCCAGGTCCTCCGCGTGAGCTGGCCCGCCACTCCCAAGTGCAGGCTCGGCTTGCTCCTCCCGAAGCAGGCAGGTCCACTCACCTTACCGTCGCTCTTCCTCCGAATCTTCTGGCAGCGGCCGTACGAGCCGGTGCCGATGCTGTGCAGCACCTCGTAGTCTTCCACCCGGGACGGCATGGCGGGTGGCACACACCGGTTAGATGACCGCAGCACCCCAACCCCCGCCGCGCACAGGGCTCACCGCGCCGTCCGGGGCCCAGGCTCGGCCCGCTGCAGTCCGCCGCCCGGACAGCCGCGCCAGGCCCGCGTCCCGACCGCCTGCGAGCCCGAGCTCTACCGGCCGCCTGGTCAACCGTCGCGGGCCGCGATCTCGCCACCTATTGGTCGACAGCGAAGGGGTTTCTCAGCTCTGATTGGTTGGGAAGACACAACACCGCTAAGCATCTTGGGAAAGCACGTGTCGCTAGGCAACCGCGTCGGCGGGGCTGTGGGCGGCCGGTTATTTTCTGGAGCAGGCGCCGACGCGCAGAAAAGCCCGGAACCTGAGATCGCAAAGCCTTTTGGGCCTCGGGGGAGCCGTCCCTCCGCCCGGGTCGCCGAGGTAACGGGGGTCCCGGCTGCTCTCGGGCCGACGCTCGCCTTTCGACCTTTCCCCTTTGACCTCTCACCGCTTCCGGCCTGCTCTGCACATACTCAGCCTGTGAACCTGACTGAGGCGGAGGGTATTGAGGGCTCGGTGGCCGGGAGGGACGCGAAGAGCTGTGTATTCCTCCACACAGAACTGGAGAGCAAGAACCACACCCCCCACACGCACCCCCCCGTTCCAGCAAGGAAGGATCTCTGTGAGTTCGAGGCCAGCCTGGTCCACAGAGTAAGTTCTAGGACAGCTAGGCCGTGTAGAGGGACCCTTCTTACTCCCCATCCCCGAGAGAGAGCGGGGAGAGAGACACTTTTTTTATAAATTAAGAAAAAAATTAATGGCTGTTCATAATAATAACCTAGAGTTGACTTGTGAGTTCTGGGCACATAGACTGTATCTCTGAACATTCAACAAATAAGAGTATCAAAACTTAGGGGGTGGGGTATGCAAGCGTCCAGAACACACTGGTCACCACATAGAGACAGAGTTTCCTGCTAAGACATCTGCCAAAAAAAAAAAAAAAATTGGAAAAAAGTGTTCTCAAATAGTCTGTGTGGGGTACTAGATGCAGCTTACTGGCTCCAGCTCACCCAGCCAATGAAGAAGCCGCATTTTTACCTAGAGGTTAATGTGAGTTACCAGAAAGCTAATAACCTGTCCCACAAATAGGTCATTGTTCTTAAAATATCTGTTCATGGAGTGATTGAAAAGAACCCAACGTCCTGATAGTAAGAATTAGAAAGCCTCCTTATGTTAAAAATAAAGAATTTATTTCTTGCACTGAATTTAGATCAGCTAATTGGGATTGTCAGCCAGGAGAACTTTTAAATTAACGTTTAAGGACGTTGTCTTGCCTCAAAGGAGTACATCTTCAGAAGTTATGTAAGGAGCTGCAGATGGCTGAGATCATTTACATGGTGTGTGTTCCTATGTTCATGTTCACTGGTGTTTGTGCTCTTACTCTTTGCTCCAAGCCCAGCACACTCTCTCAGCTCCTCAGCATCTGCTATTCCATGTGTCAGAAATTCCACTGGTATTCCTGCCTCCATGCCTTGCCCCACCATGGTTCCCATGGCTGATTGCTAACATGATAAGATGTAGGATCACCAAGGAGGCAAGCCTTTGGGCACATGGACAGGAGATGATTTAGATTAGGTTAGCCTCTCAGCATGGCTATGAGGATTTACCTTGATTACGTTAAATTAACTGAATAGAGAAGACACACTCTGAAAGTGGGCAGCAACATTCCTTAGGCTTGGGTCCTTGCTTAGTTACTTTTATACTGCTGTGAAGATTCACCATGACCAAGACAACTTATACAAGAAAGCACTTAGGGTGGGGGCCTGCTCACAGTTTCAGAGGGTGAGTCCATTATCATCATGGTGGCAGGCAGGCAGGCAGGCAGGCAGGGCTGGCTGGCACTGGAGCAGTAGCCCAGAGCTAACATGTTGAGCTGACAACGGGCAAAGAACAGGTGGGGAGAGAGGGAGACCAGACCGGACAAAGCCCATCCTCTCTTAATCCTTCCCAAAACAGTCCTACCAAGTAGGGACCAAACTTCGAATCTGTGAGCCCACGGTGGGGGGGGGGGGGGGGATTGTCATTCAAACCAGCACAATCCAGACTATGTTAGGAAAGAGAAAGTGAGCTAAACATACACATTCATTTAAATGTGACTCCTGACTGCAGATGTGACCAGCAGCCTCCGGTTCCTGCTTTTCCAGCTTGGTGAACTTAAACTGTGAGCCAAATAAACTGGTCTTCCCCTAAGTTGTTTTTGCCAGGCCATTTTATCAAGGAAACAGGATACCCCTCCATTATGTTTATCCAGAGGGCACAACTTGTCCTACAAGATTGAATTCCAGCTTTGTCATCTCTGTTCTGAGGGGCCTCATCCAAGATGTTCAGAGACCACTGTGCATGTAAATCTATTCTAACCTGATATTTGCAATTGTTTCCCAGATGAACCCCAAACCACCTGTAGCCAGTATAAGTCCTGGAATAGAAGAGGATTAAAAAAAAAAATCAATGAAGACCCAGGAAGTCTTCTTATGAAGATTAATGTAAAGATTTGCAGTGATCCCTGAAGTATTCAACCACCAAACACCACCAGCTCTGAGTCTGAGCCTGCTTACCTTGGGGGAACCATCCTAGGAGTATGGAGAAAGGGTCTAGGCAAGTGTGTGAGAACAATAATAAAAAGGGTAGTGTAGGTTTAGCATGACAAATCCTAGCCACTCCCATCACTGTGGGAGGGTGTTGGGTGGGAACCCCCCCCCAATCACTGCAGGAGGGTTTATCTAGCAAGCACAAGACCCTGAGTTCACTCCCCAGCATGGGGGAGGGGTGGATCAACAGAGGACAGATATTTGATGTTTCCAGATATTTGATCACACTGTGAAGATGTCTCTGTTTTACCTCACCTGCCTAAGGCACCTTTTGATTGGTTTAATAAAGAGCAGAATGGCCAGTAGCTAGGCAGGAAAGGATAGGCAGGACTTCGAGGAAAGAAAGAAACTCAGGGAAGAATCAGAGAGGCAGAGACTTGACAGCCAGACAGGAAATTAGATGTAAAAAACTGAGGATTGGTTAACAAGCCAAGTGGTAGAATGTAGATCAATATAAAGGGGGTAATTTAGGTTTTAAGAGCTAACTGGAACAAGCCTAAGCTAAGGCCAAATTTTCATTAATTAAAACTCTCCATGTCATTATTCGGAAGCTGGCCGTCCAAAGAAAGACCTGCCGCAGAAAGATATGCCTACCTGAGGGAGATGAGCCTACCCCTGCCCTGGGCAGCCTCCAGCCCCTGCTGCAGAGAGATGAGCCTACCCCTGCTCTGGGCAGCCTCCAGCCCCTGCAGTGCTTGGGCTCACACTTTTTCTTGCACAATCTGCTGTTGCTGTCAGTTCCCATTAACAGTCGAGTCAGTGCCTTTTCAGGTGAGGGATCTTGTGCTGTTCCTGCAGGGCTCTGGGCTCTGCTGTGTCAGGTCCAGATTGTCTTGTCATCCTCATCTTAACCAAAATTAGCATCTGTTGGCTCAGTTCACTGAAGGGTCCCCAGAACCTAAGACAGTAGGGTCTCCTTGAGGAGACCTGGTGCACTGACACAGAGGCCCACTAGAGAGCAGTACGCCACCACATGACAAGGAGCAGCACGGAGCCTCCAGCAGGCTCCAAGCATTGCAGGGTGTCAGGTCAGACATTTTGTGAGTGGATCTTGTCTTGGACATTAGTTGGTGCGATTTGAAATCTAGGACTGTAGAAATGCTTTAAAGTTATTAGTAAAGATTTCTACAGCGAAAAATAAGGGGAAGTTTCTTTTTAACAATCAGAAGGTAAACAATTACAGAAAAAAAAAAAAAAAAAGATGGCTGAGCGGAGAGTGGTGGAGTGAGAGGTTGAGGATTCCAGGTTCAAGGCTAGCCTGGACAATGTCATGCTACACTGTCTCAGAAAGAAAAAGATGGTGCACAGTCCACCTTCCCTGGCTAATAGGGTACATGCCCCATCAAGAGGGCCTCTCTACAGCAAATGGAAGCTGTCACAGAAAACCCAACTGGATGCAAAGACAGGTGAACAGATCATAGGAAGGCCAGCCCAGTGGGTACACCACAGCTCCTTCACCTGTGGCTGGGGGACATTGGAGAAGACGGAGCAGAAAGATCGTAGGAGTCAGAATACCAAGATGTCCCCAGTGAATCCATCTCTCCTAGAAATGGCCTGTAAAGAGGAAAATCCAATGGCAATATTAATGGACATGTTCACATGGGAGAGAGGATGTTTCTGTGGGCACCACCTCTAGACCAAAAACTATAGGCAATTAATGCCTGCCAGGAGGAGAGGTAGCTTCTCCCAGGGATGAGCCCCTTATTGGTTGTCCAGTGCAGAGGGGTCATCCTTACAACCACATACCCACGCACAAACAACAGAAAGAGACTCAGCAGATGGTATTTATATGAATTTATGCATGTACATAAATACATGTAAGTGGAGGTTTTCATCCCACCCACAAGTTCCCAAAGAACCACTCTACGGCTTAATATTAATTACGATTGCTTGACCAATGGCCCAGGCATATTACTGACCAGCTTTCACAATTAAATTAGACCATTTCTGTTATTCATGGCTTGTTGCCTCACATTTTGCTTCCCTGAATCCTTCCTTCCTTTGCTTCCTTGAATCCTCCTTTCCCCATCTTTGTTTGAATTTCCCACCTGGCTCTATTCTTCCTGGCCATTGGCCAAATCAGCTTCATGTATCAACCAATAAAAACAGCACATTCACAGCATACAACAGGACATCCACATCATACATATATATATATATATATATATATATATATATATATATATATGTAAGTAACTATAATTAAAGAAAAGGGGGCTATCAACTCTATATTGGGGGGGCATGGGCAGGATTCAAGGGAAGGGGAAAAAGTAGTGTAATTTTATTTCAATTCAAAACATTTTTAAACATAAAACAGAGTTAGGCAGTGGTAGCACATGCCTTTACTCCCAGCACTTAGGAGGAAAGGTATGCTGGGGAGATAAGTTGATAATGACAGTGACTGCAG